GATCCGAGGCCCAAGAACCGTAGGTTCTAGTTGCGGGTACCCTCAGTAATGTTCCCGGAGAATCCCCAGGGCACTATTCCTCCCGCATTCCCCCTCCCAATTCGCCCGTCCAATCTAAGGCGTATACCTCACCCTCCTCTTGGCACTGACTCGAAACCCTCCCGAGTGACGAGGCCCCGTCCCTGATTTGAATATCCGACTTAAGCCACACACACTGAGACCACTCAATATCACGCCCAGCGTTCCCCCCGCAATTGGCCAACCCCATGAAGCGACTCCAGATCCGCCACTGTCTGCCGTAGGGTTAATCCCCACTTCTCCGGGGTCAGCCTTCGGCGTCTCCAAGGGAGTTTTCTGTATGTAGGCCTCAACAATTTCCTCGAATCTTAGGCCCTGCCCCGAGTGTTCTCCCATCCCTTCTATTCTGTTCTCCCAGCTAGTATCCTGTGTTCCGTCACTTGTTATTTTGTCTATTTTTAAGTCCTCATTGCCCCTCAGTTCCCCCTCATATTTACACAGTAAGTCTTTCACTCCTGCATCGTCCCCCATCAGATCTTCCGTTATCACTTCAAATATATCGGTGCCACTTAACTTCAGGTTCCTCCCCCGTCCCGTCCCGAATCCTTCACTATTAAACCAACTTGCCATGACTTCTTTGGCAATCCCTTGACCACCCCAGTTGGCTAGTTCCTGGTAAATTTCCCTACATATATTTCGTCCTGCCGGGATGCGGAGTTTGATTGTGGTTCCGGTTTGTGTTAACTTTAACTTATTGTATATTATTCTTACCAGTTCCATACACAACTGAAGATCCTTTTGATAACCCTGATTCATATTCAACTTTTGGCTGCTCATATAGTCCTTCCAATTTACAACTGTTTTGTGCTTCCTGCAAGATTCCAGACTCTCCTTCCCTTGCATGAGCTTCCTAAAATCCCCATACTTGCAATCTCCTGTTAAGAGTCCGTCATTTCTCTCACGGTCATAAGCCCAAGTAGATAACCATAACTCCAGTGCTATACACAATGTCCTACTTCTCCTATTCACATGTTGCCCTAGACTTGGTTGCTCTGCATATTCAGAAGTACCAAACGCTGTCTCTGCGACAACGACTTGTCTGTTCTTACTGTTCAGCAGCTCACAGACTCCTCCCTGCACATGTCCGGCTGCTGCACACCTCTTTTCTCTGGCCGCGAGATCCCTCAGATGGCTCATCATGCCCCCAAATATAGAAGCACTCATCTTCTTTCTCCTAATGACCCCTACTCAGCCTTTGTTCTTGCTGGCCTGTGGCTGCCAGGAAATTTAGATTCCTTCTGACGTTTTTTCCCGTTCAATTACTCATGCCCTCTTTATTTTTTGGCCATGACCCTCTGGACTACTCCTTAGTTGTCTCTTTATTCTTAGCCTCGGTTTCCCTAGGAAGTGCTGGAGACAGATCTTTCCGTTTGTATCTATTCTCTGTTGCTTCATCTGATTCATTTCTTATGGCTCCCCTCCTTTGCCTCCGCTAAGGGCTCTGTTCTTGAACCGCAACTTTTCTCTCCTCCAGGATCCGGTACCTCGCCTCCGGGAAGGTCCTGGCTGTTTCCTCCCTCGCCCCCCTAGGGGGACGGTCCCTTCCTCTTTTCTCTCCTCCTTCTTCCTCCTCCGGCGACAATTTACTAGTCTCCCCCCAACCCTGTAAAACGTACTTCCTCTCACTACAGCGCCTCAGGGTTCGTCTGAATCAACTAGCTTCCCCAGGATCCTTATTATTGGGTTTTTAGTCTAAATATCCCCTCGGGATTACGGATATGAAATCTACCCAGGACCCTATCCTTCCTCAGGCATCGGGCCTACGATTTCCCCCCGGAAATCCTACAGAGAGGTCTTTACTCTCCCGGGTTGCCTTCGTCTTGCTCACTCGTACGGTTAAGCGAGTCCTGGCCCACTCCGTACTATACCTCTCAGATGCCTGGCTCGGCGGATACTCTGGAGCTCCCTCTACTCCCTCCCTCCCCTTCCTTTATGTTCCTCCAGGTAGGAATTAACCCTGGCAAACGATGGTTGGCCAAATCTATTCTGTTGCCATTATTGAACTTATTCAGGAGACTCGGGCGGCCTTTTCCAATGGTAGGAAATCGCAATGGTGGACGTACTGGGCGGTTGCCTTCGCCCCCTCGGATGATTCTACAACAGAATTTCTTAACTTTTTTGTTCGATCTTTCCGCTCTCCTACTTTAGACTTCTTCCAAAGTCTACAAGGATTCTCTTTTTCTCTTATAGAGCTCCTTCTTCCGTAATCCCCCCCCTAAGAGGACGCTCAGTTTATCCCTTGACATCCGCATCGGCCACGGCCCTTTGATGACACTCATACTTTTCAGTGTGCTATTGGGGCGGAATCTTTATTCTATAACACCTAAGTTCCCTTAGCTGTTGTGGTAAAACTATAAATTCAACGCCCCGCTCTTCCTTATTGCCTAATTATATTCCGCCATATTCATCAACTTCCCCCCTGGCGTCCTCCGCAGGTGATGCACATAAAGGGAAGCTCCTTCTGGTCATGTGTTGTGTCTCCTGGTCGGGCTGAATCATCTTATTCTGGTCCGAGTTTCACTTTCCATAGTGCCCTATACACTACTCTTTTTTTACAGTAGGCTCCTGCATCTTCACTCCTTACTGTAAATGCTTGGTCAGTGCTGGATAGCCTCTTTAGGTGCAAGACACTCCTCTTACCACTAGTCGCTATTGATTTTGCTTCCTAGAAAGCACTTTTGGAAACTGACATCTTCATCCGGTGTTATTACTGAGTCATCTCAGATATCATCACCCCTATTTATTACAGGTGCGGGGCTATTCTCCTTATAAACCTCTTTCCTCTTCAGTTTTCGTCTATTATACCCTCCCTTCCAGAATATCACTTGCCCCCGTCACTTCTTGCATAATTCCTCTCTTACCTAGCCGTAGAACATTAAGAGACTTGGCTCGTGGGGCTTCCGCCTTATGTGCAGGTATTGGGCTATTTCGATGGTCTCCTAACTACTGCCTCTTATTCGTGTTATATCTGTGACATTGATTTCGGCCTGTTAGTCCTGCCAGTCGCCTCCAATGTCACAGGGGGGGGAAGGTTAGCAGTCTTGTTCATATCCAGGTTGTTCCCTCTCGTTTGTTGTTGAGTTGCTGAGGCTCTTAGAACTTTCAGTTGGAGGGACGAAATAATTTTCAGATTTCTATGTTATTCACTACTATTCCCTCCTTACCTGAATATATCTGTTCCCTTAATCGATACTTTGGCTTAGTCTATGCTGCACTTGTTCCCTACTCGTCCTTTATTAGTATAATGAGATATACTACATCCGGTTCCCTGTCCATCTAACCCATGTCTAATTTTCCCGATTAATACGATTCTTCTCCTCGTGCTTCTCTTTTCATATAAGTATCTTCCCTCCACTAAAAATTCCGCGTCTTAATGTTCTTTATTTTCCTCTGGTCCTGTTTATTACTCTTAACGTTCTCAGACCCGATATTTTTATCTCCCCCCTTATTCTCTTCAGTTGTTTGTTTATAGAATCACTGCTGTATTAAGAGTGGAGATATCTCTGTATTCGTTTTTTCCGTATTTCATCTTAATTCTTCCAACGTTCCCTTGGTTTCTCTTACCTTCAATTCACTACCTGTTGTCTTCCCGTTCTCGGTCGTGTTCTGGCCCCTTCTCTTTTATGACAAGGCCCCGCTTCTCTATTATTGGCTTGGGGCTGAGTGAATATTGTTTGATATCTGTGACCACGCTGTGTATTCTATTCTTAGCGGATAGAAGACCTGGCCGGGAGTCGACGTGTTGCCCCCCTTCATTGTCCTTACATATGCCTCGGTTTCCTACATCTTCGACTCTCGCCTTCGTTTTCCCATTTGTTCCTTGTCTCTCTACTTGGCACTATCCAACTTTAACCTGAAACTGCACTGACTGCTGGGAGGATGTTTCTACTCTTACTATCCTATTCGGGGTTTCCAGTCTTCTGGTACACACGTGGTTATATCAGCTTATAGACTCATCCTTTTCCCTCACCCGTCCTTTGGCGCGACTTTCTATTCTGTACCTGACTCGTCCTAATGTTCTACTTTATCTTCGCGATTTCTTCCCCCTCTGCGATTTTTCCATGGGTCAAATGAACTCAAACAATGGCCTACAGATAGTCTCTGACAGTGTTATTAACCAACCTCTGCTTCTGCTCTCTTTTATCTAATCATCGGTCCTGGTTTCTGTTCCTCTTTAGGTAGTTCAGTCAAAGAATCTTGTGTTACGCGGTTTCCTGAGGGGATATTGCCCTATTATTTCCCCCCCTGTTCTTTATTATAACATATGAATACTCTGGGCCGTATTGTAGACTATATTCCTTTATATTCTTCTTAAATTGTCCTGTATATTTAGACTTAATCAGACTTTTGCCCGTAGTAATCTTCTCAGGGGTGGAATTTTCCCGATCTAGCTCTTTAATAACTATTCCTCCCCTGTTAGCGCCTATTAAACCATTTTCTTCCGCAAATTCACTTGGGGAGTGCGCCCTCCTCCTTTCCAAAATTTTCTTATATTCAGCTGTCCTGATCCTGCTGCAGGGACCTTGGATTAGACTCCGTTTGTTTGCCATTTGTACCTACAGGCAGCGCCTTTTAAGGGATTGCTAGCCCAACAAGGCATATTTTGGTGGGTTATACCCTGATAATTTGTTCGCTATTCTGTGCCCGGAACTGGGGATTAGAGGTCCCGGGTTTCTGAACGATATGGTGCTTACTCCTTAGCTCAATTATTCTCAGTCGTAAGGTCACGAGTTTTTCCCAGAATAGATATCACTATACCTGATACCTTATACGATCCCTCAGGTATGTATGCCCTTCTTTTCTCTTTTATATGTGCCCTCAGCAGGTTCTCCTCCTTACTACTTCTTCCCAGGGAGGGCTTCCCTTAATTTCTGCTTTCTCTGTCACTTGGCCTCATTTTTCCCTAAATCTGCTGTGAGAAGGGTTACTTCTGTTTTCTACTCACTAGCGGTGCTAAATTAGACATCATGTCCCTCCTAAATGTTGTATGCCTAAAGATATTCTAGTGTAATTGATACTTCCCGCTGTTGCCTCCCTCAATTGTATCTTTCCTCCATTATTTTTGGGGAATTTTTGCACAGATCCATCATTCATTATTCTTCTTCACGCGTTTTTTATAATTTGAGGTATCCTTCCTCAGTTTCCTCTACTGAAAGGGGAGATTTAATTCTACTTCTTTTTTTGTTTATCCCTTCTGCTCGACTTGCGTGGATTCCTCTTGTGATCCCTTATTTTTCACATACTTCTGCAACTCCTGTATCAATCATTACCTTGCTCTGGGGAATACAGCACACCTGCTTTCACATTCCTTC